TATCTTTGACAAAGTAATTACAGAGTTTACTTGGCAAACAAGCTACCAAAATCCAGAATTATAGAATCTAAACTTTAGACCACCGAAAAGATATCAGAAAGCATGTGCTATCAATAGTTACAGAGTTGCTCAGTGGTCTTAGTGCTTTTGACAAAATAATTTTCATGGTTCTTGACGAATTGCTTGGAAATTGCTCGATCAGTGTTCCCAAAAAACGACTATAACCTATCCCTAGTGCATTCTGTAGACTATGGCTCCTTGAGAACTACATGAATTTAAAGATCAAAGTAAAGCGAAAGAGAAACTATAAAAAATAACTCAAACCCCATCAATTGAACTGAATAGATAGAAAATATAAAGTGAACACAGGAAAGTTTGAGAAAACCAACTATTTATTTAAGGATATATATTGTTCATAGAATAGATATAATGTGACCAAGTAATAATCCTTACAACTCGATCTTTGTTGTACAAAATTACTTTGGGTGATTGGGAATCTGCTCTGCTTTCTCTTTACTTCTTCAACTACCCGCACACGCATTAGAGACGATTTTACCAGTTCTGGTCTAGCTTTTGTTATTTCGTGTCACATTATCTTACTCTACTCATATTCTCATTGGTTGAGTAATTATGAGTCATGTGCATGTTAAAAGTGATTAGTAATATGTGTACTTTCTAAGAATATACAAAAGTGGTTTCTAGTGGCACACAAGTTTAATAGTACTCTAATCCGATGATTGTTTGATCTTAGCTCTGGTAATCAAACAATAGCTTTCTAAGAATATTAGGTATTTTTTAATCGATCAATGTTGATGTGGAACAAAAAAAATTGTATAACTCTGGTAGGTTTAACATCTTGTAATTTTATGAGAAATTTTGGTTAGTAGGTAGTTTTAAAAAGTAATATTGTGAAAATGGGTGGTTCTCTAAACATATGATCGAATCCGATTATTGTTTGATCTTAGCTTTAGTAATCAGATTCCAGTCCCGCATTGGATTTTTGTGCTTAAGACTTGTTCATGGACTAAGAGAAAAGTGTGTTTAGACCAAAGAGAAACTTAGAGTCATTACAGAAGTGGAATGGGATCCACTTGCTCATTAGTATGTGGTCTTAGTGCTTATGAGTTTTGACAAAGTAATAACGCTCACGGTTCTTAACCAATCACTTTAATTTTCTCAGTGTAATTAAATTATTAACCCAAAAGCCATTAAATGAATCGAATAGATGAACAAGGAAAATTTAGTAATTGGAAAGGATAAGAAAAACCAACTACGTCTCTGTTTTTTTAATTGAACCATGTAAGTGAAGTTTGGACATAGGAAAGATTTAAGAAACCAACGGTTTTATTTATAAACATGTTGATCATATCAATATTTCTTAAGAGTAGATATGGAGGACAAGTAGTGTGACCAAGGAGATAGGCTTCCCTGACAAGGTTAATTAATTAAGGATATCTAATTACAGACAACATCAAGAAGATTATTTTAGTTAATTATAGACTTTCGGATACGGATGTCGTACTGCGCAGACGATCGATGTTGATTGTAACGGACTAGGCGATGTCGAAATTGAAGTCGTTCTCATTCCATATGCCATTCTCAAAATACCTCTCATAGAACATGGCTTTGTTTGTGGGATTCACGGAGAATGCAGTTGTGCTTGTTGTTCCATAGCGTTCGTTATCGAGCTGAATTCGAAAACAGATGATAAAGAATAA